TGGCACCCCAGAGTAAGGAATATCCACTGCCTGGGAAGCAACATGGGGATCACCATTTCCACATGTGAAACCAGGAATTTTCTCCTACAGGGATCTAACACCACTGTTGGGATGCCTGTTAGGACTAAGAATTCCAGAATCCCTGAGGTTGGAAAAGTCCTCCAGGATCAGCAAGTTCAAACAGTGCCCAATCCCCACCTCAGCATCCAGGAATTCCTTGGAGAACTCCAGGGAAGGGGACCCCAAAGCCCCCTGAGCACTTCCACCCTTTCCATGAAAAAAATTCCACCTGATATCCAAACAGAAACGTTGGGATAAAGGAGCAAAGCAAAATCCCACCCCAAAGCCACGGGATTGTTGGGATTGTTATTCCTGGCTCCAGCAAAAAGAGGGAAAATCCCAGTGGGATTCCTGACACCCCTCTGAGGGTGTCCTGGTGGCAATTCCTCCTGGAAGTGTCAGAAATGACGGGATTTAATTAAAACCAGGAAACTCCAGCGTTATTCATCCGTCGCTCCATAAATTCACCCCAAGACTCGGATTCATTATTTCATGCAATATTAAATTATTAAAAAAGGGGGGGAAAAAAGTGTCACATTCCATAGGAACATAAATATTCCAGCTGGGAGTCCGTGGGCACTCCAATCCCACTGGATTCATTTTAAGAGATCCCTCTGGATGGTTCTGTTTCAATTTTGCTCCGTTCCCTGCTCGGCTTTGGGAAAACTTGCCAGGAATTTTGCATTGGAGCATTTTATGGATGCATTTGAGATATCAGATAATCCAGAAATCCCAAATGAAATCTATGGAAAATTACCTCTCTCCCCTCTGCTGGCTGCAGTGGGTTGGGATGGATGTTTATCCAGGGAGAAGTTTATCCAAGGGGATTTTTCCCAATTTTTCCAGCCTTTTTAAATTAAAACTGTTAAAAAGCGGGAAGAGTTGATGTTAATTCTTCTCTTTCCCAGAAACTGGGGAAAGAAGGGATCCATTGGGATCCAAGAGCCACGGATCCATGGACAACAAAGCTGGGATGACCCCTGGAGGAGCTGGAAAATTCCCAGGTGGTGGAAGATCCATCCCCAAGGTGAACACCACAAGCTCCTGTGGATTGTCCTTTCCAGGAGAAATCTGATGCCCATCTAAGCTTGGCTTGGAAAAGGGGGAAATATATGGAATTCCAGACTGGTTTGGGCTGGAAAGGACCTTCAAGACCATCTCATTTCCCAGCTGGAATATTCCCTGGAAAGGAAACTTCCACGAGCTCCATGTCCTCCAGGTGTTTCTTCTTCCCAGTGAATTCCTGGCACAGAGGTTCATCTAATCCTTCCCATATATCCATGGATGTATCCATGCTCCAGGTGCATCCCACACTCCCTTCTGGGTTGATGCAATTTCCCAAGGATTTGTTGGAATTTCTCATTGCCCCAGGCCATTCACACCGAGCCAAACTTGAGAAAAACCTCGCACTTGGGATCATCTCCCACCTATTCCAACTGGATCTGTGTCCCTCACGATAATGAAGCTGAAGGAAAGGTTGGATGGGATACTGGGAAAGAATTCCAGGCTATGAGGTTGGGAAGGGCCTGGGCTGGAATTCCCAGATTTGCTGTGGCTGCCCCTGGATCCTTGGCAGTGTCCAAGGCCAGGTTGGATGGACTTGGATCCACTTGGAATCATGGAATATGTTCCTGGATGGGCTTTAAGATCTTTCCTGTTCCAAACTATTTCATGATTCCAGGGAACTGCTGGCAAACCCAGCAGACTTTAGGATTCTACCTTCCCTCCTTCCCACTGCAGCATCCAAGGAAAAAAAGGAACAAAACCTTGGCTCTGTCCCCTCTGCATCCCAATCCCTTAGAACAACATCCCAGCATTCCAGGGATAACTCAGGTGGGGCTCAACCCTTTCCAGGTAGGAATTTAATGCTCCATCTCTCCAAATTCCCCCTTTTTTTAGGGAAAAACACCACTAAATATAATTTTGGTGGAGACAAAACCTCCCTGCCCCGAGCCCTGTCAAGCTGGGGACACCCAGAGCTCCTCTGGAAAGGCAGGAAAAGGGAATTGGGAAGGGGGAATTTGATGCCGAGTGAAGTTTATGGGTCCCTTTCAAGGCAGCGTGAAATTTGCTTCCATGATTAAATCGAGCTCCGAACATTCCCTATAAAAACAACCCGGAGCGTGAAATTTATATCCCAGCCTTGTCCAAGCCATGGGGAAAAAAGGCTGGAATTATTGTTTGAGGGTTTGTTTTCCAAGCGAGGGGAGGCTCAGGGATATTTTATGGATTTTTGTGGATAAAGCAGCAGAGAAGGCAGGGAAAAAATCGGCTCCGATTCCCAGGAAAGTGTTGACAGGGCTGCATTTCTCCTGGATTGTGAATGTACTCCATTCCAAAGGAGGAAATCTGGTTTTTGGGAAGGAGAGGAAGTTTACTCCCAAAAAGTCCCATTTCAGTCACATCCTGCAGGAATTTGGGG